GCGATACTGAGACCCGTAAGAAGACATACCGGAAGGCCGTCAACTCCGGTTAGCTTCAGCCCTCCTCCTGAGGGTTTATCGCCCAGTTATTTGCACAATAAATAAGGAAAATTTTATCGCTGCTTGTCAGATTGAAGTATTATGCTGAAATTGTGAAAAGTTCAGTAGCCTCAGTGAGATTCGAATGTGAAAAGCTCAGGGCTATTTTTGGGGCCACGTAGCTCAGCTGGCAGAGCGTGCACTGTACAAAAGCATATGTGGCGTTCTTGTGTGGGTTCTACTCCCACCTCGAGGCTACTGAACTTTTCACAATTTCAACGAAAATGTTATCATTTAATAAAAGCATTGAAAATGAAAAAAAACTTCCTATCGCCATGATTTAACATGGAATCGGACAAATCAACGGCGGAGCCTGTACAATGAGACTTTTGTTGGGTTTGTGACAGTTGCCGTGGCGATTATCAAGAAACAGTACCTCCGCCCCATCTGCAACACGCACCTCACACATAAGACTTTCAGCTGAATAGAGTTCATCTGAAAAGCGCAGAGCGCCAAACTTGTGTACGGTTGCACAGCATAAATAAACTGATCAATACTACCGATCATCTTCAACGACACCGAATCCGACAACTCATTCGATAATCTAGGGCATTTGTATCAAAGTGTATAGTTTCGAACTTCAAGTGCTTCATACTGGTAGGTGCCACACACCTTGGAATTAAACTTGGAAAAGTCTGTGCTGCTTAGTGTGACCCTGTGCCCGGAAACCGTATCAATTTCGAAAAGCTCGAGAAACAGGAAGTGCCAAGATGGCCCTATTTTCTTTATTATCATCGAAGTACAGAGGTAAGGACACGATACAGGTGGATGTAAATTTCTTTGGGATATGTACAAAGTAGATGCAAGAAGCCCTGGTTGTGGATCTGCGCATCTTGGATTATCTGAAGTGTTAGGTGAGAAATCCGGAGCTTACGAGTAGTTTGTAATCGCTTCTACGAACAAAAAGGATGGAACAGACAGGCCTGTTTTAGTCACCTAAAAGTTTGCGCCCTGTCAGTAAAATATCAATCTTAGCATTCTCAGAGATCGGTTTGACATGGACCATATCTGCCTTCACCATTGATACAGGATCTAAGTCAACTGTACCAAGTGAATTTTCCGTAACGATACTTTTACCAGATTCAACCTGGCCCTTTTTGTCTTGTTGTTCTATGGATTCGGCATCTTGCGCAAAGCTCGCATCAAGATCGGAATGTTGTGATTGCTCCACGCGACGTTTGGCATGCTCCACCATCTGCTGAATGGAAGAAATGTAGTTCGTGGAAGTCGGAGCATTCGTATCGAGGGCTGGATCTGAAGTGGGGGAGCAACAAGCTTCTGTTGATGCAGTCTCATTGGTGGCGGACGGAGATGGAGTGTACTGAGCCAGGACAGAATCGATTGTATCCATGATAGTATCCACAACTTGAGGCACGTCTGTAGGTACTATTAACACAACAAAGAAATAGTTACTCGCTTCGAAGTATGCACAGACATTACGGGAAAGTGAGTGAAATTGTGAAAAGCAAGATTCACACCACAAAATACTGGCTATGACATTTATATTCAAACGTGACCACACGGAAATACTTTTCACTAATAATAATAATAATAATAGTTATAATGATAAACAGCTAAGGAAAAATACGCTAAACAAATACAAAAGACTTTCAACTAAACAGATGAATTTAGATGGTTACTTTTAAAAGTCGCGAACTTATTGTGAAGATGGTTATACTTTGTCTGGTACACCGAATACCTAGAACATCATATTACCGGCCACAATACCAGGGTGTTGTGGGTTTCAGGCTGGCCATCTGGGTCCTGTTTCAAAGCCCAATTAGCCCCAATGACGGTGCCGTGACAACAAAGGTCGATGTGAAAAAACTAAAAGTAGAGTTATTTACCCTCTCACATCCGGGGAGAGGGATTATTTGGTGTTGTCTTGCATTTCGCACTTGGTTGTGCGAACGCTAGAGGTGCTCCCTCAAAATAAACGAAAAAACGCCGAGTGACGCTGGGGACATCTCGTACCACACTCCCACGGAACTTCATGATCATGGCTGTAGCCGGCTTATCCTGTCCAAGGAGACAGCCGCAATAAAGTAAATCACATTACTGGCCATCCACCCTCTCCCATGTGTGTCGGATCGGTTTGACCTGTGCAATTCTGAATGAGATCAAATTAACCCGCGAGTCCCAGGTGACTCAGTCATCAAAGCACTGAAATCTGAGATATAGTGGAAACAGTTCGATTTACAAGCGATCGAATGAACCAAATCTTATATATTTATTCAATTATAGTCTGTATAAATTAGCTATTCATCAGCTTTGTAAACTAGTGCCAACTGGAGGCAATACACAAAAACGGATTAGAAACACAATTCGGATAGAATAAATGCGTTCGTGAAAGCATTCAGATGCTACGATGACATGGGTGACAAGCCGTCCGGCGCGACGTTGTGTCATACTACATCGTCGTTGAGCGTTAAGTGAACGGGCCCAGTGAGTTCCCGGTCAGGAAGGAGACCGCGATCTATTCCATCCGCTTCATCTTCCCAGAGGGGCGAAAAACCCTGAATCGAAAAAACCAAGAAAGGGCATCCGATTCAAACTAACACCTTGCCGGTTGGGACCGTCATCAGCCGTTTGATTAGGCACCGCACACACCTGATCCCGCCAAAAGATTCACTGATCGCATTGACCGGACATCGCACCATAGTTTTCACACACACTGCCCGGCTGCTTTGCTGCGTGGCATTGAACCGGACGACAACAGAGTTGCCTACCACCAAAGTCGGGTGGTGGTGGCGGGGCTCGAGTTTCGGACCACAGGGTCAAAAGTACGCTGATGACAGCGACTAAACCACTTCTCCGCCACATCAAGATACAACATTGTCCAGCTTTATTGTTAATTTAGTTCTCCATTGCGATATGCACAGATAGAGGCGCGAAACGTTGCAGTCATTTAGCCTGTACAATGGGAAACTATTCCAGATCTGAATCCGCAGGTGAAACACAGGTAAAAAGGTGGCACACACATGGAGCGGAAGTTCCAACACAAAGCAAAGCGAGTTTTGCATCACAAAACAGCGCGCATAAGGTTGCAAATATTGACTGAGACAAGTTCATTAAAACAAAACAATAAATCAAATCGGCAATTCAATTAATTTGAACAATTACTGATCAGTTTATACCTGGTCTGTACAGAGAAGCAATTATGATAACACCGACTGAGGAAAGTTGTGAATGGTAGACAAATAGAGAAAGAAGAAAGCAAGTTGATAAGGATTATGAGAATGACAGCCGTTCAGTTTACCAGTACACACACACAAGTGATCAAAGAATCTTGATTTGCCCGTTCACGCACAAAAACATCGCCTAATGTAAGAGAACGTACACCTGACAACAACGCTAATGATTTGAGTGACCGAAAGGAGAAATAAATGTATTTCCGATTTTAGACACGGAAATACGATCGCTAAACTGTTTGAAGCGTGTGGGGGAATTACCTACCAATATTTAAGAAGCCAGACGCAAAGTAGGACCAATTCACAGATACTGACACCCGAGGGGAAAAAACAGCATGGGCTAAACTAAGAAAACGCGTAAGTGGAATCATTGTACACAAGGTGACTTATCTGTTTTAACACGGAAGAGTTCGTGCGTACTATCACGACTACACATGCAGAAAAGAATTCAGTTGTTTGTATTCTGGTTCTCCTAAAACACAGACATAGAGCAGCAGGAGGCCAATCACAATACGAACGCTTACAGTGGACTATCTAACTCAGAAGCACGTATGAGTCGGTGATGATAATGGAGTGATTACTACTGTTATATTCCGAAAAGGCGGTGCTGGTCGAGGAGAGTTCTTTATTGCAGTATACAGATGGAGGGTCAATAATTTTGGATGCATAACACGAAAAGCTCATCAAAAACATGCCTTCGCAGCACATCGCGA